ACATGGGTGAGATCAAACAGTATTCTTTTTTTGTTGTTTATTTTGTTGTTGTTGTTTTGGCAGTGCTGGGGATTAAACCCAGGGCCTTGTGCATCTGAGACAAGCACTCTACCAAGTGAGTTATATCCCAGCACCTCCAACAGTATTCTTATTTGCCACTTCCATGCTGCCTCCAGGATCATTGGTCAGCACAGGGGCAGAATTTTCCTGGGTCGAAGGCTCAGTACTGTTCCCCTGCATGTTAATGGACACACCACCTCACGTACACACCTGCACATACTGGTGGACACCACATCTCACCTTGCTGCTGTCTTGCCTGTCGTGAACAGTGCTGCAGTGAACCTGGAGGTGCAGACGTCTTGTTGACTATGAATACTTTCCTTTAGATGCACAGCAGGGAGTCGGATTGCTGCCCCACAGGTGAGTTTTACTCTACATTTTCAGAGGCATCCTCCTGCACTTTTCCATGGTGGGGTGCAGGTTAGCTGATCTCCCACATAATCTGTCCAAGGTTGACTTGCCCCACATTCCTGCCAACACTTGTTTTCTCTGGTCTTTTTCATATTAACCATCCAAACACTTGTGGGGTAATATCTCCTTGTATTTTTGTTCTTTTTACAGATTGGTCTCTACAAGCAAAATTGATATATAAGCTGGCCACTCTGACTTCTCTAAAACTACATCTACTCACATACTTTGTCCAATTTAAAAATGATAAATTTTACTGTGAATATTTATGTAGAAAACAGGACACCATAAATATAGCAAAATGGTCACTAGAATAGAACAAACTCATCCAATGTCTCTCATAAATACACATGTCAAGAACACTAACCATGTGATTATGTGGTAAAAATGCTATTCAGAATACAGAACCTCTAACATGTCAGTATATTATACCTGAGATTTCCATAACTGTTCACCCTATTTCCTATCTGGTAAGTTTTTACCCACAGCCATGAGTAGATGAATTTTTATATGAGTCCCATGTTCTGTGGAGTCACTTTCTTCCTTTAAGAGATTCCCAGCCCTGGCAGAGCTAGTCTTCCCAAGGCTAGGGGCCACCTTGACTATCCCAAACTGCAAATAACAAGAACATCTAAAAAATATAATGAGTCCAGTGATTAACAGTTGTCAAATAGACTAATACAGACAAAAACTGAAAGCCACACAGAAGAGTTTGAAAAACACTTGTGGTCACATAGGGCCCTTTTTTTCAAATATACTTCATCTGTTCCTCTTTCAAACATGTTGAACACTTCCTAGGTGACCTGAGGACAGGGAAAAAGAAGCAACAGGGAGGGAAATCTCTCTCACAGAAAGCATGTTTGCAGTAGAGGTCAGATCACTCGTTTTACAGGTGGTCACAAAAAAAGTTCCCCCTGGATCTGCCTCAGCATGATGTCTGTGCTTGCAGTCTATACCTTCAACCTTGTTTTCTCCCCCTTCTGTTATTCCAGATACTGCTTTGTTCTTCTGAGCCAGAGTGCTGTGTTTTCCATATCCACTTGTATGAAGTGGATTTAGTCTTTGCCAAGATTGGTGTTGAGTTTGCTTTTCTGCAAAGGAATTTCCCATTCTTTCTTTCCTGGGTGGAGTTCACTGCTGCCTATGCCTCGCTCTGCCCTTTCATGGAGTTTTGGAAGGGCTCACCCTCCCTTGTAAAAATGGATGACTTTACCAATTGATGTGGTGTGTCTCACAAGGATTTTAATTAGAAACTTGGTGTCTGGTGTGGCAATGTTAAGAGGTGATGGGACTTTTATTTCTAGGTGTTTTAATTTTGGTGTTATTGTTTTAATTTTTGTGTTATTGTATCTGCAGACACATTAGGAGAGGTTACCAGCAGGATATTAATATTTTCAGGAAACAGATTAAAAATTTTCCCACTTGGATGGGGCTACTACAATATCTACGCACCAGAGACTGGGGTACGTAATGAAAAATACATAATCCAGTGGCCTGGTACATAATGTGTGCCTGCACATATCACTGGACCAAATAGTTGTAATGCTAAAAGAACCACAGGGCCACATGTGGAGGGTGCCCTTTAGAGCTGGGCATGAAGATGGAGTCCCAGCAGTCAAGAAGTGGAGAGAAGCTAGAGTGAAGGTGTGCATGTGTCCTTTAAAGAATATTCAAGGCACACAAACTGCAAAAGGAGGTATTTTTAAAATTCTGGATGGTTACTTGACTGAACACAAAGAATTGAACATCAGTGCAGAGGAGGAGTTATCTAGAGAATTGCAAAAAGCCTTGGCTGTGCCAATAAGCACATCTCATTTCTGACACATGGTAGAGGCCAGCGCTGCAGGGGGAGCAGATGGGGTGCAGCTGTGTTGAGGAGACCAGTGAAGGAAGTTAACAGATGAGGACCCTTCCACAGCCTCATGGCATCTTCAGCACAATCTACTTGCCTCCTTGACACAGAGGAGGGTGTCTAGGAAGACCAAACTGCACCTCACACTTGTCCCCTTGGGTGTGGTTTTATTCTAGGAGTTAACTAGCTCACTTACACATATGAATGTATGCCATGTATGTATGTACAGGCTCAAATTAATCATCATGAATACATAAGCAAAGCAATTCTTCAGTTCTGTGAAAACAAACTTTTTCAAAAATTATTGATATGTAGATATTCTTTGTGAACAGAACTTTAATCCTTATTGAAAATAAGTGTAGAATACAGAGAAGAGTTGCTAAAATACATATCAAATATTTTATTAATCAGGTTGTATTCAAAAATAGAAAGCTACTTTGGAGAGTTATGTAGAAGCTTGGTGTTTTCCATGCCAAAATGACTTTAGAGATATTCTTAATAATAATTAATTGCCTACATTTAATTTGTGAGTTAGAAGGTTTACAATAGCTGCATTTCACATTTGACTCCCTGGGGAAAGAAGACCAGTGTTTTTGTTTCTATTGGAAAGTATGAAGAATTTGGAAGAAAACACATTTGATCAATGAGTACCTGTTACTTCAGGAGAAATGTGCTAATTTTGTGGCACCCACAGCCAACACTGGCCACATCAATGAAAATGGTGCACTGAGGTAGCAGTCTCTTTAGAAATGTAGTTCTTGATGTTTAACAAATCAGACCATTTCCTGCTGCCTCTGATCAGCAGAGATTCTATGTCATAGCACAGATTAAGAGCATATGCCAATTGCTACTTACTATTTTAAAAAATCGGTATGAATTAGTTCATTGCACCAGGAAGAGTCCTCACATGTAACGTTTTCCTCTCAATTGAATGAGAGAAATGTAAATTTCAAAAGAGCGTTATTTATCCATGTTTAATTCTAATAAGATTTTGGGTTTTCTTCATGTTCAGATTAATAAAAGCATTTTCTTCTTCAAAAATATAAAAATAAATGTAGGTGCACAGAATGGGTTGACATTCATAGAAACATTTGGGAAACTCTACTAATATATGCTAAAGACAAGTAGATATAAACCTATGGTCAGAAAATGTGGGTTATTTGTAGATACTTATATGTAAATATATGTTATATATATATATATATATATATGCAAAGAAACACATGAAAGTATCATGAAAACATGTCACACTTCCCACATGTCAGTGCTGATCATGATGCTCCAATGTGTTGTACTGATCAGTTTCTGCTGCCTATCCAAATGCCTACACAAACACCTTATAAAGAAAGGAAATTTGTTGAACTACATTTCTGGAGACTCAGGAGCATGGTGCCAGCATCTGCTCAGTCCTGGTGAGGGCCTCACAGCAGATGGAATCACAAAGGTAGAATCACATACAGAAGAGACCGCAGAGCAGAACAGGGAGCAAGAGACAGCAGTAATCCATCATTAATCCCCTCCTAGTGACCTCCCCATGACCAACCATCTTGTATTGCGCCCGCTTTTCAAAGGTTTCACCACCCAGCACATAACACTGGAGCAAAAATTCCAACTCATGGACTTGGGTTGGAAACATAAATCACATCCAAACCACAGCATGTGTGCATCAAGGGAGAAATGCTAGAATTGTTTGAAATCCTTTATTGAGATTCTATCATCAAAACATGGGAAAATACAAATTTGAAGAATATGGCATTTTCAAAGTCAAATATAAAACAGCTGATGTTGAATGATTTCATTTATGTAAATTGCAAACCGTTGAAACTGATCTCTATTCTTAGAAGTCACATACTGGTCACTCTTGGGGACACATACAGGAAAGAGGAGTCATACAGACTAAGGCTTTGTTTTACCATGTAGCATTTGCTTGCACAGGTGCAGTTTGTGAGATTTTATTAGAAATGCATGCCAACACATACATACAAACATTTCAAAGGGACTTATCACTGATTCAATAATAAGTAGTAAAATAAAATTTATTAGTACCCAATGTCGTAAATGACACAGATAGACAGTAAATAAAGATTAAATTCTATTTATCTTATGAAAATAAGAAATATTGCATTATGAAAATCACAGTACCAAAATCAATGAATTCAATATAAGCTGTTTAATAAAGAGGACATCAGTAGCCTTTGCTTCCCATCATGTCCAAGGTTATATGAAATGTATGTCTCATTTCATTGCAAAGGTAAACATTTGATAGTGTTCACTTTGACATTTTCTTCAAAAGACACAGCTAAGGCATAACTATAACTTGTAGATAAATGAAAAATACATGTCACTTGTTTACACAAGTTAATAAACTAGAATAGTAGAAAATAAAGAAAGCAGATATTATGCTGAAGAATTCAGCAGTTGTTGTACTTGGTATATGATATCTAAAATTTATATTCGTTACATCTCCTTTTCCCAAATATTGTTGGATGGACAATAAAACCAAATCTAAGTGATATATATGTGCACCTACTCAGGTACACACATACACACACATGGACACAATATAATAAATAAGTCTGGTGTGTTGATTGTCATTCTTGGAGATATTACTGTATCACTCTTCTTTCAATTTGTAAGTAAAAATGGAGAAACATGTAAGAATTGTGCAAAAGCCTACAACTTACACGTTCCTCCTGACATTGGGGATTTTTCTATTCCTCATTCCAGAGAGACCAAGCCTGGATGCACTGGAGTCCCTGCTCATGAGCAGAAAGGGGCTGAGAGCTGGGAAACTCCCAGAAACTATTGCACCCATCTTTACCAGCAGCCAGTGGGGATTATAAATAACAATCATACAAACCTGAAAAATGCAGGAAAGTGTGTAAAAAGACACAAAAGTGCTCACCAAAAGAAGGATGGTTTGGGTGGCTCTGGACTCAGGGGAAGACCTGGGGGAGCTGGTCTTATGAACATGCTGCATTATCTGCTTGTGCCTGTGCAGGATGAGCACCATGAAGCTGCTGGCCCAGAGCATGAGCCCCAAACACAGGGCATCGGGGAATGTTACCAGTACTGCATACAGTGATAGTGAGGTTGTGTCAAGACGAACAGAAGAGCAGTATCCATAATCTTTCATGCTTGTGATATTATTGTTGCTCCTTTTTCCAGTCATATGTGAAATAATCATAATATTTACAAGCACGTACAGAATCCAGCTCAGGTATATGAAGAAACCAATGTATTTGGGAGCTTTCACTTTAAGCTCTGAACAACTGGAATTCTCAGGACTAATCTTCATGGCCTGGAAGACACTCAGGAAGCAGGTGCTGCCAATGGACACACCCCTGCCCACCCTGTGAAGATAGAAAAGCAGCTTACATCCAAAATTACTGAGGAAACCTTTCACTCCAAAAGCTTCCACTGTCTGGGGAACACCTCTACACAGGAGAGCTAACAAGTTGGCCACAATCAAGTGCTGAAGAATCAAGTCCGTGTGTCTTACCTTGAACCCTATGAGGTAATGGACCAGATAATGGAGGAGAAGAGAGGAATTGCCCAGAGCTCCAACCACAGTCTGTGACAAGAAGATGATACCAACAACCACATCACTGGCTGCCACCCTGCCAGTTCTCTGCTGTGCCAGCCAGTGGGTCTGGCAGGAAACAGGAGGACTGGACTGCACATGTCCTATCAACCAAAACCCAGTATTGTACACTCTTCAGAGTTACCACTCTGAAAATTTACAAAAGGTCTTATTTCACTAGCAGGTTTTTATGAGGTTGGTATGGATAGTCAAATCATGAAGTATGTGTAAATCCCTGTTGTGAAAGCAGCACATGGTGATTCATCTTCATGACATGAGCCAGGTGCTGAGATGACTTTGCTGATGACCAAGAGAACTTCTGCACACAGATATTAAGTCTCTGTCCAGATTCACACTCCAATCAGGTACAGAGGTGTCTTGAACCTGGCTGAGTGTTTACAGAGAGCACAGCAAGAACCATCAAGCTTCTCTAAAGGTCGTGAGCAGGTTCTTCTATCAATCCAGCTCATATTTTCTTCCATTTGTCTATATTTATATTGTCTTCAAAACTAGTGGTATCTTAGACAGTTCATTGTAAAATGTTCCCATTTACTCTGAAATATTAATTCTATGTGCAAGGTCACTTATGAAGGAACATTTAGATATTGATTTAATGACTGCAGATGCACTGAGGGAACCTCAGCCCTGCAGGCACCTGTGCCATGGTTAGTCCCATGCAGGGAGGCAGGACTGACTCCACATCAGGACAGCTCCCCATGACTCATATGGTGAATTGTTAGGAACACAAGCTCAAGGGCCCTATCTCAGGAATTTTGCCAATTCCCAGATCTTCTCCTAAGTCTTGGGATACTAAGAAATAACACATAATTAAAGAGTATAGTGTAGAAACAAAGTATTCATATTTTAGAAGACTCAGATATGTGTTAATTAATACCTAAGGAAAAAAATGTATCAGAAAAACAATATTAGTGAATGATATTACAATAGGAGCCATTCAAGAAATTTGGTATGTGTTAGTATTTAAAAGTTGAAATACTAGAATTTCTGCATTCATTTGAATGCATATATTTAACAAAATTTATTGGGTAAAAAAATTTATGTCCACTTGTTACTTAACAGATGGTGAAGAGCTTTCCTATGTTCCCTGCACATTCATACCCTGCTCCACTATCAGATTCCTATGCCAAATGGTACATTCACTACAATGACAAAATATTCCACATGAAAAAAATATAAAGCTCTTACAGATGGTAATAGAATTCTGTAATAACCTTGTCCACTATTTCCATACATGTTACTTTCCATAATACAGAGAAATGGCCTCACTATCCTTGAATTGTGATGCTTTCAGTATTGGTACAATTACTCTCTCCATTGTATCGGTACAATTACTCTCACCATGCTGAGAGTCAGAGAAAATGTTCTGCCCAAGCAGTCACCATCAGCTCTCTCTCTGCACAGGACTAAGAAGATTCCCGTGAGCTCCTCCTACTCCACACACAGGCAGGGAGATACTATGAGTCTGGACCTAGAAATCATGAAGATTTAGTGTAGACTTCCTGTAAGGGAAACTGAGCAGCTGGGTGACTTTAAAACAACCTCCTTGTACACCTTGAAAATCACATTTAATTTTCTCTTGGATTAAACCACAGCAATCCCTGTCAGTAAAAATCACATGTAGTTAAATTAGGACCCATGGTGGTTTGGCATTTAGGATGGGATCCTTTTATCTTTGCTACCTAGAGCCATTCTTCATCAACCATTTTAATACTTGTGTGGCTCTGGCTTATGGAGGGTTCAACTGAGTGTCCCCTTTTTGGCTGTGATCACTTACCCAGACTCTTGATGGGTCTCTTCTCACAGATGCTGCTCTCACACTCACCCTGAGTCACTCACCAGGCTCTTCCTCTCTGCCAGGATGGTGACCTCAGTGCAGAGGTCTCTCTGACCAACATGTGTGCTGCAGGGACGCGGCCAGCTCCTGAGATATGGATCTGTGGCTCTGTGACCTCACCTCCCCTGGGACCTGCAATTACCGCTGTGCCTAGAGCAGCAATGGCTGTGCAGGCTGGGGGAGCTGAGGACACTGCTGGAAACTTTCTCCCAGGTGTCACTTATGAAAAACAATTTTAAACTTTCCTCATAACATGTCTTCAGAGGATATTCTAGTGTTTGGAGAGACTCTTACTTATCCATGATCCTGGGAGACCAACAGGGTGTCACTTGGAGGGGCTGGGAAGTACTGAGGTCTGTCATATGAAGGGCTGGCAGTGAGCTTTGCATGTCTCATTGTATTTCTTCCTTCCCTGGGAAGATTTCTACCCCAAATCCAGTTGCTTCCCATTCTTCATTTCAATGAATGGCACCAGATTTTAGGTATGAGCAGAGAAATGGAAAGAGAGAAAACACATAGGAAGGATATTATACAGGTACAAGGAAAAAAGAATGTGATGCTAGTAGTTCACCTTGGAAGTCACCAGATTCATCTGCACAAACATGAGTGAATTCATTGGATACATTTACACATTGAATGTTAATTCATATCATAATTTTGTGAATAAATATGCCCTGTCAATATTGACCTCCACTACTGACAGGAGGGAGAAACAGAGCAATATCCATCAAACAAACAGAATGTAATAAAATTCTCTTCAACAATGTCATCAGCAGAATCAGTTTGACTTGTCTGAGCCAAGAATTCTGTAAATATCAGATATTCAAGGGCTACTAACATTAATTCAGTAGCCCTATGGGGGTGACCACAGCACAGGAGCCCTTTCAGTTACTGTACTCCCTCCAGCCCTGCAAGGACAATGTATACACTGAGGCACCTTAACTAATGCTGTGAGATTTACCATCCAGGTGGAAACCTGTGGTGTGAACACAGGTGGGTTTTGGGCAGTGACACTAAATGGGAGTGAGTCTGAAGTGGTTAAAAGAATAAGGACATGACGAAAGGGTGGACAGGAAAACAAGATGGTAGAGCTCCTGTGATATGAAGGAGAGAGTGCAAAATAGAGAAGATAGATGCAAAAAAGAAAAAAAAACTCATTATCTATCCAGAAAAAGCTCATGGACATGGCTAGGTATAGGCACACCTGGGTTGAGGAGCCAAGGGACACAAGGACATAGGGTTAACCAGGTAAGAGAGACATGGGGTGCCAGGTCACACAGGAATGAAGATGCTTCTGGGGATGGGGACAGAATGCAAAATAATGTTGCAGATTACTGGATGTAAAGCCTCTGAGGTGTTCATAGCTACACCTGGTGGGAAGTTGTGAATACGGATGGGGGAACAGGGACTGCATTAATTAGTTGTCCAAAACAGGCCCAGAGTGTGACAAAAAAAGTGAGTCTATGCAGAGAGAATGGGCCTTGGAGGAGACAAATTCGACAGAGAACAATGAAAGAGCAGGGGAAGGTGGTGGGGAAAGAGCTAATGAGGATGATGGCCCTGGCTGCAGTCACTTTGGAGCCTGAATTGGGTGTTGAGAAGGCTGAGAGTAGACCTTGGACATTTGGGTGTGGGGCCCAGGGGCCCTTGTGACCGACTGAGTAAATGGAGTTGAGGGTGGATACAAGAGAGGACAGAACTCTGATGATGAGACTTGTTGGGTTAATGGAAGGCAGAAAGGCTGTCATTAGGCTACCATGAGAGACATCACTGAGGAACAGACATTAAATATGTCACAACACAGCTGTGTGGGGGTTAGGCATGGAATGGATTCCTGGCTCTGAGGGATGGGGGAGGTTCAGTGTGTAGCTACAGCTCAGAGTGAGGAGCCAAGCCTCTGTGAACATTAGGGTAACATGTGTTCAGACTCAGCCCTGCTTATGGATGGGTGACTGACAACTGAATTTGTGTACATTTGTGGTATACATGAGGAATTCACATGGGTAGATACTATGGAATGATTACTGAAAATCAGGTAATTTACCTACATATCATGTAATATACTTAACTTGTGTGGGGGACATTGAAGATCTCTCAGCAAATTAGAAGCACACAACACTGTCTTGCTATCTGCAGGTTCCATGCTGTACAGCAGATCCCCAGGGTTCATTCATGTAGTAATGGAACTTTGTGCACTAACAATAATCCCCCATGTATTTCACTACCCACCTCTTTACAATCCTCATTACACTCTGTTTTTGTAAAGTTCACTTTTGTAGAAGTTAAAAGTTTGGTGTCCTGTGTGGCAATGTTAAGAGGTGGTGGAACTTTTATGAGATGACCCTGGTGAAGGTTGACAGGTCACTGGGTCTTTGTCCATTGAAATAATCAAGGTGTTTCACATGAGACTCTCACTAGCTCTCATGAAAGGGTTGATATAAGGATCTGCTCTCTAGTTTTCAAATTCACCATGTGACCTCTCACACACACACATTCCTCTCATGTTTCCCACCACCTCCATATGACACAAAATGCAGCCACACAGGAAATGAGCCAATGTGGGTGGCATGCTTATGAGGATGCTAAACTGAAATATGATATCTCTCTCTCTCTCTCTCTCTCTCTCTCTCTCTCTCTCTCTCTCTCTCTCTCTGTGAAATATCCAAAATGTAAAATAAAGATATTTTGTCCAACTAAAACTTAAAAATAAATAAATACTTTTAAATGAAATACCTAAATTCTTGGGTTTTGACATAGAAGAGGCTAATAAACAAGGCTTTCTGCTATATCTATATGAGATCATTAGACTCTTCTCTCGGGATTGAACACACCTACCTTGGTCCTGATTTCAGCCTCCTCAGATCATCTCTTCCTTACTATGATCTACATTGTTATTCTGTATTTTAAATAATAAAGCTTTGGGGCATCAGTTCTTCTGACATCCATATGGTCACACCACACCTGGGACTTTTACCTGGCCAAGAAGTACAATCTGGAAATAAGGCAGTGAGACATCCCAAGGCACAATATCTGGAACATATTCATTAGAGTGGGACAAGTTTACAGTTGACTTTAGCATTATATCACAAGAATGATTTTTTTAAGAAAAAAAAATAATTTATCTATAGTATTGACAATATTCTTGGTTGCGTGAGCATGATTTTGTGATGGGAGCCCTTAGATGGCCTGTCCCTCACTTCCCATTTGATAGCCTCACTCTCATGACTCCTCTCCATATAGGTTGAAGATCTGAGGACTCCACAGGCACAGCTCCTCCCATGGATCTCCAGAGTCTTTGATGTTTTAGGTGTTTCTCTTCCTTTCCTGGACTCTCAATTCTCTCTGCACTCAAAGACATTTTCCACCCTTAAAGTATATGTTATCCCAGGATGCTTATTAGCATAAACAACCTTGAACAGAAAGTCCATAGAAAGAAACAGAACATCCATCCTCCTGTGAAATGTTCACGTCACAGAAAAATCAAGAGAATTCTCTTTCCATCAGGCCCACATGTGTATTTATATACTCAATACATGTACACATTTTTTTAAAATAAAGGTGTACTTGGATTTTGATGTTTTAGTGAATTTTGACATTTTTATTTCTTTTGTATGTACAGATCTTTTTCAAATTAAGAATCCAGAACCAGGGACACAGGGCAAGTCAAGTCTTGAGATCTTTGGCAGAATGTCATTGTAGTATTAAGGGATACAAATAGGGCTATAAACTCTAAACAGTTACCACTTGTCCTCATTTCTCATTAGGGAATAGCCAATAGTCCATTCCTAAAGAAAAGATACATAGAACCTCTTAATCTGAAAAACATAAAGTGACCCAAATTATATGCAGGCCGCTTTAGGAAGCTTTTCATTGCTGTGAAAAAGGCCTCCAACAAGGATTACCTAGAGTAGGAAAGATTATTTGGGCTCATGGTCTCAGAAGGCTCAGTGCATTGATGACTGACATCATTCCTCTGAGCCCAAGGTGAGGCAGAGCATCTTGAGGAGATGGCAAGGTAGAGGGTACCTGCTCCCCTCAAGGCAGACAGGAAGCAGAATGGGAAGACAGGAAGAAGCCACAAGGAAAGATGTCCTCTTCCAGTGCTCATACCCAGTGACATGTATCCCCCAGTGACACTACACCTGACTACAGTTCCAACGGATCAGTCCTTTCAAACTAATATGGATGGGAAAAGTTACAGCTATCACAATGGAATCATTTCAGCTCTGAATATCCCTAAATTAGCACAGGAGATTTATATCCAAGCCATAAAACAGGCTAAACTACTGTATAACTATAACATAGCTGGATATATATTAAAATGTTCATTTCTTGAAATGTATCTCTCAAACCTTGGATTAAAAAAAAATGCGCAGCTACCCGACATGACTAGACATCCTGGTGCTGGAAGCAGACCAACTCCATCTTGGAAAACCTTTCTCACCACTTTACAGTGGGCGTGGCTACCAGTTTGGATGCCA